GAAATCTATGAATCTATGAATCTATGTGCTGTCATTAGTAATGCTATAGTAAATTTGAGATGTGACTTTGAAAAATGGCTAATCATGTCATGCGTGTCTGTATTTTTGTACTGTTTTTTACATAGTGGTTGGGTTTTATTTTTTGTGGCTGTGCTTTTTCTAACCTTAAAATATGAGTATTTATTTTTAATTTACTGAGCAATATATGGGCTATTCAGTGATGTCTCCTGTATGTTAACATCCAGACTTACCTGACAAAATACCCCTGGGTGCCTAATACTTGCCAAATGACACTGTAGACTTTCAGTCCTTGGAGCCATGGATTCCTCCTCATTTCTTTTATAATTACTGGATTACATGGCAGATTGTTATATACTTGCATTATGTAAAGCAGTGTGAGAAAATTTCATTTGTCGTGCTGAATATTTTTTATCTTTATCCAGATCCACAAAGGAACTTAAATGCTTCCATTGCTCCTTAGTTTAAGATGCACAAAAACTTTCATGTGCTTTTAACTTAAACCTAGAGCTTGTCAAAAATTATAACTTTCCCCAAAGAGGTTTTCTTTGTGCATCAGTATAACTCTAAGCACCTAGTCAGGATAATCAGTTGAAATAACTAACTAGCCAGAATTATCCTTGTCTCATGCTGAAGGCCATTTAGGAGTTAGAAAGAGAAGCCACTGCAGGGGCTGAAACAGTAGGTAATGCTGACACACCTAATATGCACTGACTAGAGTTCAGTGTAGAGCATATCAGTTGGAGCTATTTTTGCTGACAGATATGACTATTAAACTTGTAAAATGCTTGTCCAGTTACCGTTGTCTTAGTGTTCTTCAGAGTTTCAAATCTGCATATCCTATGTGCACATAAGCAGCATTTCAGTTCTGGAAAGGAGAGAATTTAGACTCAAACTTTTTCAGTATTTTCAGGTGTTTACTTCACATTCCTATATTCCCTTTCCTATGTTTACTGCTTTCTTTCAGATCATTGCCTGTTGTGAATTTGTTGTTTCTCTGCTTTATTTTCATCCACTGTAAATTAAATTTGAATATCTAACCAGTGCTTTGGCTTCTATTTGAACACAGAGTGCCAGAGGTTGGATATAGAAATCTACAGTCTTCTAGATAACGACATGGTTGTTGGTAGTGAACAGCTTCTTTAGTTTTGAAACAAGCCATTGCTCAGGGTGACATTTTGCAGATGAAAGCATTAATATTGCTTTGACTGAACTGGTGAAGTGAAGCATTGGGAGACATTTCAAAAAATTGCTAAGAGATAACACTGAGCAGGTTAAAACCATGACTATAAAAGTATTTCATACATCTATTTATTTGAAATTAAATACTGAACAGAATGGTTACCAAAGCTATACCCCAGTGCAATGTTTTTATTTCAAACCTTGCAGATTAAGCATGGATATTTCAGAGAGCAGTGATGTGAATCTGTATCCCTTGGAACCAGCAACAGCTTTAGAATTTCAGGAGTCTACAGTAAAGTGTGTTTATCTACCTTTTTTAGATAAAAGTAATGCATTTGTTAGATTAATCATATTCAAGTTTCTAAACAATGAATTACATATTTGCATTTGTTTATCTTTATGCATAGCAGTCAAATGCAGATGGAGATGTCTTCCCTTGGTCAGGTACGTTAATGAGTGTATTGTTACAAAATATCTGGGGGGGAAAGACAGGATTTGGGCCAACAATTTCATCAGTTATTAATCTACCAAGCAGGGAAGGGAAAAATTTAGTAGGCTGGAGGACAAAACTAATTCTTGAACATTTTTGTGGATTGTTTTTATTTTTTTATATGTGTATGCATAAAATTTTTCTGAGTTGATCAGTTGCTTTTTCATCTTAGTTTTTTCCCCCTCTCTGTGTGTGACTTTCATGTGTGCCAGCATATAGCTCCACTATGCATGCTTGTTTACCATCCTACCCTCCTATCTCCCTGTTTTGGTGTAGGAAAGCAGTACATCCATTAAGGATAACCCCAAAATATTTTGTAAACTGAAAAATTAGTGTTTTCCTAGAGCACTGTCACTATAGTTATAGATAGTATATAAAATATCATTTGGAGTTTTACATTGTGATATATGCTGCTTATTATTTGATCTTTATCCTGACTGGTGAACTGATATTTTTTATGACGTACAGATTTAGATTTGCATTATCTACCTGTTAGCACTGGAACTGCAAGTATATAGTATCTGCTTACTTCTTCGCTTGCTTTTCATCCCAGTATTTGTAAGAAATACTCCTGAGGTAATGTTATGCAAAAAAAAAGATTTAGTTCTATTGCCAATGACAAACAGTTTGAAGAGTTATTTGTCTTGCAGAGAGAAAATGCTGAAGAGGAACTAGAATTTCAGAGGAGGAGGGAGTTGATTATGGAGAAGGCAAAGCCTGAAGTGAGAACTTGTGAACAGGGTGAAAAATGGTCATTGAATCAGGTATGGAGGTGTCTGGATGCAATAAACGTGGAAACGTTTGGAATGGATCATTACATTCTGTAAATTTCTATATGGAGATAATAGTGGGTATAGGATTTTTTTTTTGGATGTGTTTTATTGGATTTTTTTTTTTTTTTTGCCTTACCATGAATCTAAAGGTTTGGCTGTAAATGGGAAGTTGATTAAGACCTATCTCGCAGAAAAAAAACTGATATAATGAGATGAATAAAAGTCTTTTCTTTCCATATACACAATAGTAGTTGTAGTGGTTGCATTCCCCTGGGAAAAATGTCATGTCAAAGTTATATCTTCAATAAAATGAAACACCTCATTCCTCTTCCCTGTCACTCCAAATACTCCTGTAGTTATATAAGCTGCTAATTTTCTGTTAACAGCAGTATTTTTAATATGTTTAATATTACAAACTGTATATGGGTTGAGATACTAGTTTTAACATTTCAAAAGTATTGAAAGTTTTGCGTACATTGCAGTTATCCAAAAATGAAGAACACTGAAAAAAATCTAATACAAATATTTGATGCATATGTTACTACTTCAGAACTTGTTTGTATTGGGATTTTTGTGCCTGCTTTTGCAAGAGGATTATGGGAAAAAAATTACATCATGTTCTGTGTATATTGGTAGTACCTTAGTATGGTCTATCTTATCCAGACATAGACTGAATCTGGTTTATCTTGATGCTTTTCAAATATTCATATGTATGATCACCATTACCATCAAATATTCCTATGATATCCTCGTGACTTTGTTAGTCTTAATTTTGTCTTTATCTTTAAAATATCTAATTAAAAAAAAAATGAGTTGGTTCATCTCTTTGTTATGTTGTACATTGGGGCTACCACACTTTATTTGGAACAGTTCTTACTACATTGCGGAGATTAACAGATAAGACTAATTCAGTGTCAGAATGTCTGTGGTCTCTGTATTTTGATGTTTAACAAGGACACTGCTGATTCACTTCTAAAAACCTTTTATAAATCTTAAACACTTGTAGAAGGCGTGATCTGGCCTGTGTTATGCAGGTGAAACACATCTTGCAAGAGCAAGTTTTTAATCGTGCTACACTGTGTAGTACAATAGGCATTTGTGTTACTGTGTGTGTTACTAAATACAATTCAGCATAAATTTAAAATTCTGACTAGTGACCTGCGTTCTGTGAGAGAGATTAGACCCGCAACGTGGGCAGAACTAGCAGGTCTGTCCCAAGAACGTAATCTCTGAGCTCAGAAGTGCTCAAGCATGCTTGAGCGTGTCCCCAGGTAGAACTGGGTGGGATCAGATGAGTAAGATTTGTTTCTGTTTATTTTGGGTAATACAGTGGTTGAGGTCATGTTATGAAAGATGTCTAAAGCTGAAGAATTTTTGTTTAAGCTTGAAACGTAGCCAACAAAGGTCATGAAGCAAAATGGGTGTGTAATCTTCCTTCCCATCTTGCTTGTTGTGTGTGGAAAGCCCTGTGGCGGTTGGGATCCAGTGTTCCAAGTACCATCTTTTGGTTTTGTTTCTGTTTTTTGTCGATTTAAAAAAAATAATATTGCCCTAAAGAAATGATTTCGTATTGAATTTTCGTATTGTTTTTACTTATACCAGCTGTGCTTCTGCTGGCTGAGTTATGACTGATGCGGAATTAATGATTGTATTTTATATTTATTACTATTATTTACATGTTTCCAATTTGTAGCAGAAGTGGTAACAAAAGGTATGTTATATTGCAGTTATAAAATGAATTGCTTATGGAATATTCTGTTTTCATATCTGTATTAAAAATCTATATTTACCTATTAAACTCTTAGTGATAGTTCAGTTACAAAATCTGTGAAACAAATTTACATACTGCATTTGAACTAACCAACATTAAAATCTTATAAATGCAGTTATAATTATTTTGAAATGAAACTAAAAAATGAATGACAAATCTGTGCAAATAATTTCCACAAGATTTTTTAAAAATGTTGTTCAACTAGCAATAAAAGTATTTATTATTCATGAAAATTAATTGTTTCAGAGAAAAAAAGAATTAGGTATTAATGTGTATTTGAGTATCATGAGTAAAATATCCTATTGTATCACCAATGTAGTTGATGAAACGGTCTTTTTTTTTTTTTTTTCCCCAAACATGCAGAATGATCTAATTGTTTGGAATAAAAGTGGGCAAACCTCTCACAATGAGGTAAGATGCCAGTGCCATTTGGTTGTCTCTTATGTGTTTTATGTGAATGGTTCGTACGCTAGATGAAACATGGAATTGAATATCCCACAAAATGTGACTGAGCTCATCAGTAATGGCTAAGTGGTTTGTTTGGCCTGTGGTTTATTCTTGTTACCTCAAGGATTTACTAAGATATAAAAATATACTTTCTGATAGACTTGTTTCTAAGTTACGTAGTTTACTATAAAACATTTATTTTTTTACATTTTGTTCATTCTGCCACATTTTCTTCTTTTGACTCTTCCTTGTTCCGCAAGAGTTGCTGTTGATTTTAATGCAGTTTCTTTTTGCACGGTTGTGTCATGTCCTTGATTAGTTTTCAGAGAGGAGTCTTGATTTTATTGATCCCATCACTTTTACAGTGCAAATCTCGGCAGAAGGTCAAAAAGGGAAGCTGCAGGGAACTCCTTATGGAAATTTTTTCACTTCATGTTTTCTGTGCAGAAACAGAGCTTCTCACTCTCCACTGCACTGTGTATGAGCATCTTGCAAATTCCTGAATACCCAGTGGCCTTCCAGCAGTCTTGGTCGTGGGATGCCTATGGGTTCTTCATTCCCTGAGGAATCACTTTTTAATAGGTTTCCCAATATGGAGTTTGGTTGTAGGACTCTTTCTAATGTTACCATTGGTGGTATGATGATTATACCTCACCTTCTCCTGGGTGCTGCTGCTCCATTCTTCCTGCTGCAACTATTAGCTTAGCTCAGAGTCAAGAGTAATCCTGCTCTGAGTTATGTGCTTAACTTCCTCTTTTCTGCTTTTTAGGCAGAAATTCAGTGTTGCATGCAAAATACCATGCAGAATGGTGATTAATTCTGTGGAAAAAAAATGTTATCTAAGGAAAAACGTGTCTTTGCTTTGTTTTTCTAAATGTACTATGCCACAAAAATGTATGTTTGATGGAACCAAGTGATTATATGGGAGAAAGCTGTGAAATAATTAAGCTATTTGTAGCTAGGGGGAATATCTTACAATCATTGGTCAGAAACTCATATTTTCCAGCACAGGAATAAGGACAGAATAAAAAGGGAGATTATCATAGGTTTTAGGCTATATTGTGATCAGACTATGGTGGAATAGTTGTAGTATATGTTATTGTTAACTTTTGCATTTTATATAGTCAGTTGTGCTTAGATGTTCTGGATGTTACTCTTACTTGGATTTATGTTCTTGAATTACACAGAACAAGGATAAAAGTCCGACAATGTCTCCTAGTACAAACGCCACAATCCCTTTTGGCCTGAAGCCACGATCAGGTAATGTGGGAAAGAAAATCAACCAGTTCTCATGTCTGCGTGTGTTAATAGATGTCTGTAATTTTTCCCTTAAGAAGGCAGTGATGAAACACTTTCTGTACTATAGTTAGAAGATTAGAACATTTTAAGGTTATAGGTTTAAATCAAGATTGAATTTGTAACAAGTATGTATTTGGCATGTTATATATGGAACAATATTCATCCCTTACTAAATTAGTTGTTTTATAACATTATGTGTATGTTTAAAAATATGTGTATGTGTGTATATAAATACGCATATTTTATACATATATATCATCTGTGCTGACATACTAATTGAAATATGATTTTTGCTTAATTGACACGTAGTGATGCAGTTTATATTTTGTTGAATAATACATGTGAATAATTAGGCTTCTTTGGAAAATGCTGATGCATTCCTCTGAAAATTGTTCATTGCAGTGAGTCTTTCAGTAGTTACGCTTGTGTGAAGATCAAGCATTATAGGAAGACTAGATGTTTATTTCAGCCAGCAGATGAGTTGAATGAATTTGCAATGCACTGTCTGCCTAACCATCAATCTTTTAACAAGCAGCAGTTTCTTAAAAAAACCCAAAATAAATAAAAAAACCCCACACCAAACAAAAAAAGCCAAACCAAACCAAAAAAAAAACCCTATGGATGTATTTGAGTGCTTTAGGTAACATCTTCCTTTAAAAACAGGATTAGCTACAGGGTTAAACTCAGCTTTTGTCCTCTCATTGCTGAGGTATTCAATATTTTTAAGTTATCTCACATCACTTCTAAAGAATAGCTGTAGATTTTTCAGTGTCCTAGGACTGTAATTCTGGTTTCTTGCTTTTACCACAAATGCTTTTAATCAAATGCTGGTAAACCGCTACAGGCTTGTAGTTTCCATAACAAAATATCTTGGCAATAATGGCAGCAGTTTCACATTTGAATGTTTAAGAAATTGTACCCATAGATTTGATTTCTTTTTTTATAAAAAGCAAATGAAATGGTATTAAGTCAATCTTGTTTCATGAAGAGGGTATTTTAAATTTCTCATGTAGTTACGATACAGAGTTTGACAGATCTGTTCAATTGCGTTTCTTAGTTTGTTGGATTGTTAAACTCTGGCTCTGTTCTTGTATGTTCCTGATGCTTTAGAGATGTTGTTATTTCTCTGTATATTTAAAGTATGGGTTAAATGATGAGCAAATGAGTCCTTTCAGGGTTTGGAAAGAATAAAGCATTGAGTAATATTGTACAGTCCAGTGGCAATGTTGTGCTAACACTGTTAGGGGATAGATACGTGAAGGCCAGTGGGCCCGTGCCATGTTGCTGCTTTCACGGGATGTAGCCTGTGTTCTGCTGAGCTGCCAGTGAAATCTGTGGCCAAGGACTGGAAGCAGCATGGTGGGAGAGAATGCAAGACCATGACTTCTTGAACAAGTCTTAGTTTAACATGCACTTCCGAATCTTGATGTATCAGTGCACCAGGATGTCCTGTATTTAATGACTGTAAGGTCAGGGCAAAATAGCCTAGTAAATCTTTTTTTAGAGGACATCTAGGAAGACTGGTTTGCAAGGATTGCAGTCCATTGCAACAAATGTTCCAAGTTGGGTGATGGAAGACCAGATGTACACAACTCCCACAGTTCTTCTCTTGTCTATATTGCAGCTGTGTACAGCCTCTTTAAACGCCAAAGTCAATTGGTTATAATTTGTCAATTTTCTGCACCGTACTGATTCAAATTCATATATTTGAATCACTTTGAGTATGCCAATACCATAGTGGTTTTTGATCACAGGTTTGGGTTGCAGAAAAGTTGATAATCTGAATTTAATTTGTTTTCCATATCATACACTACAGAGTGACCAACCTAGAGCCGTTACTGCACAATATTTCACCTCATCACATCCAATTTCAGCCATGTTATCTTAAATCTATGACATGATAGGAAAGAGGAATTTGGCAATAGTAAGACTTTAGGTCCAACTTCAGATAAAAAGACATTATATTAGCTGTGTAACACAATGTAACAAAATGAAACCTTGCAAAGGAGTTGTGAAGCTGCATATTGTTTCCTCTCCTGCTCCCACCCTAGAATTACTCTAAAAGTAGTATTAAAACTTCTTTTGCTACAGATAACAATAATTTAGAGATAGAAGTAATACATGATTGGAAATACTGGCATGTTTGTGAATCCTGAATTTTTTTCCCGTTAAAGCTGGTTAGCTTGCCATGTCTCTTTCTTCACTGTATTTCCTTTAAAACTTTGTGCAAGTTTTGTGTGAGTTTGAACCATCCTATCACTGTCTGAATTTGTGCTTGTTAATTACTTGCTGCTTTAGTGCCCTAGAGCTGAGCTGGTGTAAGGGTCCAGCAATTCTGTGATCCAAGAATGTTTTTCAACTCTATTTATAGTTTATTTTAATAGCTTTTTTCATTTAAATTCTTCATGGCCTTAGAGGAAACCTTAAAACTCATTGGAAATGAAACTTAGCATAATCTTAGTTGTGAATCCAGTGTCTTTATTTTGGTAACTTTTAGAGCATTTGAAGCATAATGTTAGTATCTGTGGACATATTTGCCTCACTGTCTTTCAAATTTGTTGGAACACATAATGATCATTAGAACTTGACAGTATTTTTCCCTCTTTTGAGTGCTAGTTACTGTTTTTCCTCTCTCTGGATATTTATTCCTTCTATTTGTTTTCTTTCCTAACTGCATCATCTGTGTACTGTGGAAAATAATGAGAATCCTAATTGCCAGCATAATTAAAGGTAGTTTATCTTGAGCCATAAGTCTGTATTTTGTTATTCAGTGTTGACTCTGCGCAGAGTAAGTTGCGTTGACTCTCAGGTTCAGCTGATCTGGTGTCCCAACAGCCAGAAGCAGTAAACTGGATTTGGAGAAAGGCATGGCTAAAGAGAGTGAGCTCTTGAACAGTTGAGTATGAAGAGAAGTTTAAGGTGAAGTTTTATACAATACTATCTGAATTATCATCATGTTAATACAGATTCTAGAATTGTGGGAGGGAGAAAGTCTGTGTGATTAAGTTCCTGATGATTATTAATTTGAAATGGTATAAAATAGGGACTCTCTGTGCTCACTGAAACATTAGCTTAGACTTTCTTCTAATATTAAATGGTTTAAACTGCTTTTTGATCTGCACAGTAATTTTAAATTAATTTAGGATTATGGTTTCGCATTTGGCGTAGAGATAGTTTATAATCTCCAGTTTAGTTTGAGGAGCATTGATGTTGCTTGTGTGTGGGATTCATAAGAGAAAACATGAAAATATATGCTAGAAACCAAGAAATGAGTTCATAATTTTTGTGGCGGAAGTGGTAAGGAACATTTGTGATCAGATACAGGAAAAAACTCATTAAGGAGTGACATTGTTGTGAAGGAGGGATTTAAATTCTATGTCAGAAAATAGGAAACCAGTGGGAAGCCTTGAAAGGATGGATGATGTGCTGAAGATAAGCAGGAAGGAGGTATTTTAAGGATGTCAGTGTCCAGTTCTGAAATACTGTAGAATGGAGGTTTGAGGAAAGCTTTGGTGGAAATCCTTGCCACAAGACAGAAGTGGAAAGTAGATGTGGTGGGGAAGGAATAAAAATATCTGCTGAAGGATTTGAACAAATGAGAGATGTTGTCATGACTAGTTGAAGGAGAGAAATCAGAATGGATGGAGAATAGGGACTGTATTGGTGTGCAAGTTTAGCTCCGTAGTGAGTTGATGGGTGGTCATGAACTGTAGGCATGACGTGCTTTTACAGTCACCTGGTGAGTAGTCTCAGCCTCTCCTGCCGCTTCTGCAGAAATGTGCAATAGTGTATGCTTTAGGGAGCCCAGTTGGATCATTACTGAATTTGTGCTTGTTAGAAGACTGTCTACAGTGCAAGGCTTGTGGTGCAAACTCAGAACCACGCTTTGGATAGTCTGTAAAAGTTGCAGGACCAGAACCTTCCCAGGGTGGTAGCCCCATTGTAGGTTTGGACTTATTGCTGCGGGAGTCAGTAGGAAACAACAGTAGTGCTACATGTACTATTAAGTGAACTAAACCAAAAGGAAAACATCTGTAGTATGTGTACGTACAGAACATATTTCAACAGAATGAGAATCCAAGAGATAATGTAGTTGCTACTTATCAAAACCAGCTAGGAAGTTATAATGTAGTAATATTTTCATATGGATGTGTAAATTTTCTTTGTCGTTGGAGAAGGAAGTGTTCTTATTACATAGTTAGAAAAAATACCAAAATGCTTATTCTCTGAACTTTTCGTTGCTGAAACTTTACAACTGATACGTTTACCTTCTGATTCACAGTCAAGGTTTTTGTCAGGCTATAATGTAAAATTTATGGGTACTTTTTCTTAAAACTTGGTTGTAAACAAGTTGTATGGAGTGCTGTGGTTACAATGATCTTGCTGAGCTTAACGGCCTTAACTGCGCATATAATGTATGATTTGCAAGTACTAACATATAACTTTTCATTCTTTTTATTCTGCACCATCTTTCATTCTTTTCTCAAAAATTACGCATTTTGTATTAATCACCTTTGAATTACATCTTCGTCATTACCATACAATCCTAATGCCATATATGAAATGCTGCTGCTCCCTTTTATCCCCTCTCTCGTCCTTATGCCACCCTAATTGGACTGGCTATCACTCCCCTCCAGCAGACCCATCCCTCAATCTTCCTCCTATATCCTTCAACACACTTACACAGGCACAAACATGGGACAACTTTAGCTACAGTATCCCATCTGAAGGAGACAGTGACGATGGTAGGTGTTCCATATATAATTTACTTAATTTTATGTTTTCAGAAACTTGAATATATGGCAAATGCCCCATATGGCTAAGGATGAAAGACAGTACTCTTGATGGGGTGTTTATAAGACTAAATAACCTCAGAGGATGCACGTTAATATATTGTAGAATATGTCGTAGCAGAAGCAAATGAGTGAAGAGTGTCACTGTTTTCAAGTCTGGCAAAACAACTTTTCACATGGTATCCACTCCAAGAACTATTTCCAATATAGATTTATTTACTTGCATTACTTTAAAGGATTTCTAAAAGTTGTACTTAAATGGCAATTAATTTTGCTACTGTCTATTCTGCATTTTTTTGGTTTATCCTTTTTTTGATAGTCGCTAACTGTTAATTAAAATATCCTGCTCCCATCTGCAATTATTGAAGCAGGCGCATAATTAAATTAGAAGAAGAATCCAGGAAGAAACAAAGCTGAAACAACAGCTAAGCAAAAATAGTGATTTCTGTCCAACAGAAACTGTTAGTAAGCTGTCAAACTTCTCTGTGCATAGTGAAGGCCAGGTACATTAATGGATGTTGTTACTGCTTCATAGTACATCCAGTCTTTGCACTAATACGCAAAGCTGTCCCTGTTTTGGTTATCAGAGTGGTCTGCTGCGTTAATAGTTAAATGTCAGAACAAACAGAACCTAGACAATTACACCGTTTATAAATATTTGATAGGCAGATATATTTTTTTTAAGTAGGACTGTCGTTCTTCCAGTTGCCCTAAATTAGAAGTGTGTTTAGGTACTGGAAGGCAATGAAACTGTCAAAAGCATCAGGTTGAAACCAAGACCACAAATCTTGAATGATAAATGCCAACATTTAGTTTAGAACGCCTACATTCTTAGTTCAGTTCATTACTTGACAATATTCATTATTGCCACAGTGTTCTTGATTATAAAACCATAGAAGACAGCATGTATAAGGAATCAGCTCCGTAAAGGAGATGAGTATGGAATACAAGACTTGTGCCAATGGTAGGTTGAAAAACTGAGTTTAGTTCATAATGGTATAAAACTAACTTGACTTTTTCCTGATGAATGTTCTAGCAGAGAAAAGGGAAAGCTAGAGGTACTTCTAGCAGTGCAGAATTTGATCTATGTTAATCCAGATTTGTTAGTGTTTTACTCTTCTAAATGAAATGAGCAGTAGAGACTGGCATGTTCTTGTTCATTTGGCCTCCCCTTGCTGGAAAATGTGTGTAATGCAGAGAAGGAAGCAATACTCAGGACTGCTTAAACTTCCTGTATTAGAACATTTTTCTTTAGATTCAGTATATAACTGAAACTTTTATAGCTAATGCTTTTGACTGTGTGGGGGTTTTGTTTTGGTTTGTAATCAATTAAACTTATTTTACTCAGAAACTTTTAACTGTAGTTTTCCACTGTCTTGAGATTAGCCTGCCTTTTCCTTGTGGTGAAATGTGTGTCTCATGCATGAATAGAATTGAATAAGCAATGTTGATACTTACTTTTCATTAACAAATGTTTGTAGTCTGAAATCGGAAGGAAGTAGGTCTTGGGACACTCATATTGACTTAGCAAAGGCCTAAACAAAGATAGCTGTGGCCAAACTGAATGAAGTCCATGATAATACTGATACTTAGAAAATTGAGCATGAATATGAACTAGTGCTTTTGCAGAGAATGTTTTGAAATGTTGCTGCTGCTAACAAGGCTGCAGTGACATTTAAACACCATTTAAATATGATATTACTCTTCAGACATGGTTTTATATAGGTATTTCATCTGTGAGAGGCAGCACAGCTCTATTATTAGAGTTCTATAATGAACTGTTTCAAAAATGAGAGTCTTAGAAATTGCAATGACAGTTTTTAATAAACATAAGAGATTTTTATTTCACCTCTTAAAAACTTAGAGTTGTTATAGAGTGCTAATACAGAAATTTTAGCACTTGTTATAGAGTGCTAACGCAGAAATTTTAATTCAGGACAATTGTTGAGTTTAATAGAAGTCCTGAGTAGGAGCTTCTGCACTTTAAAAACTTAAGAGTTGATTTTTTTTTGTTGGTGTTGTAGGAGTCCTAAACTATATGATTTACTATATGATTTATTAAATATCATTTTAGATATTTATAGTTGTTTAATTTTCACCTTATGTAAGTACTTTCATCAGAAATTTACCAATGTTTTAATTCCTTTAAAATTATCTAAATCAGTTGGTAAAGATTTTGAAATGGCATAGTTAAATCAGGTATATGGATTGTTATACTTCAGAGTAGTTACAGCTGTTAACAGCCTTTGTATGTTTCAGTCTGTGCAGTCATATTTATACATATGCCTCTCTATAAATATTAAGAAGCAGTTATCTGTTGATACACTGTGCTTTGGAAATAGAGCTCTATTCTGAGCTTGCAGTTTGCCTTCTACAAAGGCAGAGATTAAACTTCAACACAACTGTAGACCTATTGCATCTGAAGGCATGGCTCTGCTACTCCTACGTTATGTGACAGGTCAGCATAATCTGATGTGTGCACTTCATAGAATCATAGAATGGTTTGGGTTGGAAGGGACCTCAAAGATCATCTAGTTTCAACCCCCCTGCCATGGGCAGGGAACCTACTTGTGTGTAGGTCCTTCTGAATGATGACACTGGTGAAGCTATGCAGTCTGCCTGGAGAAGGGAACTGAGCTGCAGTTGGCATCTGTAGTTCTGTCCTGCACGTTCTCTCCAGGACGCTCTCCCAGTCTGCCAGTGGGATTTCTGATGATTTTATAAAGGATAAAGTTTACTAACATAAAACTGTAATGTTTAATTGTTCTATTTGAAAGCAGTTTTGTTTAGGAAATAGCCTTTAATATGGCATTTCCTAAAATTACTGATTTAACAGCAGTGTAGCAAATTTCAGTGGCCTGTGAAAAGTTAAAACTATGACTGTGTGAGTCAGGTAGCGGAAAGAAGCAAGTTTAGTAACTGGCCATAGTTTATTCTATCTTGATGCCTCATAAAAGTAACCTAAGGATATGTAAGGAGTTTGTTGCCTTAAGCTCCTTTTTAGTAAATAAGGGGAAGAACTACTGCCTGTTGGCTGAACTGCGTTAGGTGGTGTCTGTCTGTCCCTTCGACTAGAGAAGTAGTTTGGTTTATTAATTTTGTTACTTAATCAGCTGTGTACAGTTACACGAGATTGATGATGGCTAGACTTGTCTGAGAATTCAAAGTGTTCTCAAACAGAAACTTTGTCTTGTTTATCTGAGCCCTAGATTTCAGAGGGTACAATTTTGTATGTTGGCCTGAACTGATTTGAAGGCTTCATTAAGCAGTTTACTTTTGGTCAGGATGTAGATGAAATTTCCTTCTACCAGGAGTTCAGTTTTTTGATTTGTTAGATACTTTGAGAACTGCTTTTTAAAATTCGGCCTATTATCCAAACTGCAACCTAAATAAAATGACCAACATCATTTTAATTTAAAAATTCCAATTTTTAATGGAACATGAGAATTGCTGTGATTACACCTACGTGTACCTTTCTTACAGTCAATAGTAATTCCTCATTTTTCACTTTTCTAGTAGGTGCTATTGGCAATTCATATACTTCAAATTTTCTGATGTGCCTTTTAGGAAGCAGAAGGCTCCTCTCTTCTGTCCTGTTACTTATTGACCCAGGAATCATCCTCTGTTCTTTAATAGCCTTAAATTAACAAAATTGAGACTAGGCAGTAGCTGTATGTAAAAAAAGATTTCTACGCTTTGTACTTTCCACCCAATTAATTAGTACTTAAGGTGTCATGTTCGTTCAGAAGGAGAGAAGTGGGAAAGTAATGGTACAAAATGCTTCTTTTACTTAAGCAGTATAATTTTCCATATTAATCAAGTTGGCCTATAATTTGAGTGGCCAACAGGTGACAGTTGCATTTTGAGTGTACATCTTGTTCTTCAGAACCATTCTAAACAGTCATTGATGGCAAAAAAAGGGAGTGTGGAGCTGCATATGTGCAGAGATTTCATGTAATTATTTCAAGGAACGATGTGGGCAGTGTGATGCAGTTGACAGAACTAGGATTGGTGGGAGGGAGTGCTGCGAAGAGTTTGTGCAATACTACATTTTCAATACGACTTTTTAATGTAGGCAGACTTACTGAATGGCTGAGTCTGCCTATGTTAGTCTTCGTTTGGTGGGTGGGGTTTTTTAGTGGAACTTTATCTAGTAAGCAGTTTGTCCTGTGTAGGAAGATGCTTTTCACAACTTGTTACACAACTGAGCATCTTGTAGGAGAGGGTTCTACTTGAAAGAATAAGCAGTGTTTCCTGCCTCATTAGATACTAAGTTTTGTACAGATCAGAATCTCTAAGAGACAGTGCTGGTGCTTAATCATCTGACAAAACTTGCCTATTGAGATTAGGATTTGGTTGAAAAATTATGGACTCCATTGATGGCACGTGATGCCATTCAGACCAATATCCAGAAAATAACCGTTTGTGATTGTAATCCAAGATCAAATTTTTTTGTTCTCCTGAGAACAGAGAAATTTTCTAACAGTTTTTGCTGGAGGCAGTGCCTAAGGATTTTGCTTCATTTAGAAATTACTAAATCAAGGTGCTTGTTTTTAAACTAAAATCTGTCTTTTTTAAAATCATAGTGTTCTTAAGACCACAAAGAAATTTGGAATCAATAGACCCACAGTTTACAATTCGAAGGAAGATGGAGCAGATGAGAGAAGAGAGAGAGCTTGTGGAACAGCTACGTGAGGTATGTGTTAGTAGAATTAATTTGTGCTAATGGAATGTATTTTTTAACTTTTCTTTGGGAAAGTCGTCTAAGTAAGAGAGTATGAGAAAGATTAAATGAGGCAATATTACTTCTACAAATTGCATTGATGAGACTATTCCTGAAGTGCTTTATCACTGTCAGATGTCTGTACTTTAGGAAGGGTTTTGTGAAAATGGGAAATAATAATGGGAGTTACCTGAATGACATAGTTAAACAGCATGCCTTGCACTGGTGGAATTAAGAATTTATTTAATTTCATCAGAAAAGATGAAGTGATCACTTAAAGAGATAGAGAGGTCTAGAAACTATTTCCTAACAGCTGTAGAAGTCTTCATTCTAGCAATAAAAGGCATAATGAAATCTGTTAGTTAAAGCTGAAGTTAGTTATCTGCTTTAAAAAAAAAAGTTTCTAATGCTTGAAACAACTTTCTTAGAAATGAAATTAATATTTCATCAGTTCAAGAGCTGAATATACAAGACGATTTCCTGATATATCATCTTCAATATAGAAGCTAGAGCCTGATGCAAAAATTGCTGCATGTGGTTGCATAGTCTCTGTGGTACACAGCTGATACTTAGGTAGCACTGTTTGTGTGACAGCTATTTGCATAAAAAAAAAAAAGACAGGCTTTGCTGCAAGGAGTTTTTTGAGCCTGAACCTGTCACAGTTTCTAGTTATGTCATGTTACCAACAGAAGAGATGGTATTGCTGCACTCCTAAATGCAGTGCAAATCCTGAAAGTGTGGAAAGTGACTTTGGTATCGCAACCAAATTACAAGATTATTTGTTCTTATGTCATTAGCTTCGTGGAATGACTAATTTCAAAATTATTCGTTTATTTTAAATAACGTGTCTTTTATTATTTAATGTTAAAGTAAGAGGGTTCACTTTTTTCCCTTTACCAAATAGTGTTTAAAAGCTGAGTTGTTTAATGTAGAGCTATGAGGACTTCTAGATCTTCATTCTCTTACGTCAGGCCCTCACCTGCTTTAAGTCTGGATTAATCTTACTTTTACTTTGTCTTGCTGAATTTTTGAACAGAACAGATCTCGTTGAAGGTTCAGCGTAGTTGATTGAATGTATATATTATCAATTCTAAACTTGGATTTTGCCAAAAGGACAAGATGCAGGAATTAGATGAGGCTGACTTAATTGGTAATGGAGAAAAAAAATGGAAGTAGCAATAATAAACTGCAGGAGGATATAGTTCTTCCAAGCATAGTCTAGTCAGCAGCACCAATGCAGCTTTTCATGATTCTTTCAAGAGTTGCCACAAGTATTTAGCAAGTCCCCAGTAGTTATTCCTAAAAATAATGTCCTCGAGGTTCCTTCCTTGTGCATTACTTCAGCTAATCCTCACAGTGAAAAGTATAAGGTTATTCACCATATTAGGCATGATCATGGAGACTTAATAAGGATTTCTCTACACTGTATAAGTATTAGGTCAGCTCCATGTGCTATCCTTCTTTGCCTTCACCCTGAAGCATTGTGTCCTGAAATGAAAGTTCTGTTGTCTCTTGTGAGAAGTTTGATTACAAGTCAAGGAGTGGTGACAGTAGCTACAAGATTGGCCCTGTTTGAAAGCACATAGCGAGATTTTTTGAATTAATACTCTAATATACTGGGTCCTTTAGAGAGAGAATCAACCTCCAGTCCATCTCATTATATATTCTACAAGAAAATAGCCCATAACATGTAAGTCCTTAATTTCATACTTATTGAATAAACATATCGGTTGGTATATTTTGCTTTTGAATTGTTTCATGGCATGTTAGAAATTAGTGAAACTCCACAGAACCTGCAGCTTTAGCCAAGTTGGGCACTCAACAAGAAGAAACAACTATTACAGTACTCAGGTTCCTTATTTAGAAATCTAAATACGTAGTTACGTTTAGCTCAACCGCTTCACCTGAGCCATATATTGTGACAACATTGGTGTTTGTTCCATATGTTTTCCCCTTTTCTTTAGAATGGTGTGTTTTTACAGAAATTGTCCTGTCCCGTAAAAAATTTTCCTTCAGAGACATTCTCATTTTTCCTCCATTTGAGTCATTTGATTTTGTGTACATCCACAGTCACTTCAGACAGTTATCTTGAGAGTAATTCGCCACTTGCTCTTGAGCAGTAGAATCTAGCAAGAAATACTGGTTGATTTCTGTCACTCAAAGGGTAAATGTTCTTAGTTGAAACTTAGTTTTGACATGCTAAGTGGAAAAATTGCTGCTGTAGTACGGATGATTTTGGAAAAGAGAGCAGTTATTCAATGGTGACAAAATTGAAGGAGAATTGATTGGCTTCTTGAAGTCTTCAGTTTTAATTAAATCCAGTCTCAAACCATGAACTCCAACAGGAAATGGCATTGAAATAGTGTTGTAGGTGCACTCTGCTCGTTAAAAATACACCGTGATCTATACTGAGTAGTCTCCCAACAGGCAAATCCACTTAAGAGAAGGAATTTTTAATTCATTAATGTATGTAAACCTGTTTGTAACAGATTTGGAAAAAAGGTCTCAAAATGTGTTCTTAATGTGTAACTTTCTGTACATCTCTCATATACCAAAAATGTTTTCTGATGTATGAATTAATCCAAGGTGAAAACAAAACATTGTATTAGTACACGTGATGCACTTCCTTGTTTGGCACTTGTGAGACCGTACAGGGGAGTACTTGAGTAGTGTGTCTAGTAAAAGAGAAACTGGGAAATATAATGAAACTCCAGAGTGAGTTCAGTGGAGGCTACTTCATAGTGAGGGCACCCAAACAAAGGGTGCATGAGGAAGAAGCGGAGAGCTGGATTTCTTTTGCTTGGAGAAAAGAGTGCTGAGAATATCATATGATTGTCCTCAGCTGCCTGAAGGGTAGTAATAGAGAAGATAAAGCCAGACTTTTCAAAGACGCACAGTGAAAGAATGAGGGGCAGTGCCACAAATTGCAGAGAAAGAAATTTCAGGTAGCTACAAGGAGAAAATTCTTTGCAAGAAGAGTGGGGAAATACTGAACAAGGTTGCCTGGAAATGTTGTGGAATCTCTTTCCTTGCAGATATCCAGAACTTAAGTAACTAAGGCTCTGATCTCATTTCAAATTTGTTAGTCCAGGTGACCTTCAGAAATCTCTTGCAACCAACACTCTTCTTTAATTCTGAAGGCAATAATCTATTTTCATCTAAAACCCTGAGCTGAGACTGAGGGCAATGTATTAATAGAGAATAATGACATCAAGGAGGTTCAACTAGGAATAAGAAATAGCTATTTTAAGATAATGGAAGTATCTTATTAAGTCTCTGAGAATTAACTCTCTGAGAGTTAATCTAAGAGTTATCTCTAAGTACAGTGTTGGAATGTTTTCAAGATTGGAGCACAATTTAGGAAACTTATCATATGTAACAATGTTATTGTAGGGTTTTTTTTCCTGGAAAATTCTCAAATATTTTCAAAGTGTTTTATTTTGCAATGTCAAATCCTTTTCAATGAAACTTCAGTTGTACTTAACAAGTATCCAAAAATTCTCTTTTAAATCTGAATGTTTTGCCTTGCCTTACATGTCTTTCTGATCACTCTAATGCTTCCTAAGTAATTTTTAGCCTACTAGGAAAAGATTGTCTTTCACTCTCTGCTTGAACACTGATTAACACAATGTAGTTCTGATTCGAAATGCTGATGATAAAGAAAATTTGAGATGCATAATTAGAAGACTTCAGGGAACGGTGAAAGGAAAGAGCTACATGTAGTGCAATCAGATGGCTAATTGCATGCATAAATGATTTTTTATATATATACACATATATATAAAATATATGTGTATTATATGTGTATTATGACAGCAGCATTTAAAGTCTTGAGTTATTTTAGAAGTTTACGTAATTCAGTGACCAACATAGGGTAGAGGGGGTTGGCTTTTAGTTTTTAAATAATTAGTTATATAAAGGTAGTGTGTTTCTTGGTAAAACAAAACTCAAAAATTGGCTATGTGTCTACATCATGGGAGAAGACAAGGATATATATATATATATTCCCTTTTTTTCTCCTTTATCCATTTCCATATTAAAGTCTGTATGTGATATTCAATTGCAGAACATTGAAACAAGACTAAAGATTTGTTTGCCTGAAGACTTGGGGTCTGCTCTGATGGATGGCGTAGTTCTCTGCCATTTAGTAAATCACGTTCGCCCTCGATCTGTTGGAAGTATTCATGTACCTTCACCAGCAGTCGTAAGTTGAACGTTTCTTGCCACATTGAGGTGGGGGGAGGAATGTTTAAAAAAATTACTGGTTTATTGCCCAATGATATTTTTCTTCAATGAATGTTCTTTGCTGTTGGGGGCAACTTTTATGTTATTACAAATTCAAATGTTCATCTATCTGCCCTCTCCCCCCTCCCCCCCCTTTTGTGTTTTTTTTTGGGTTTTTTTGTTTTTTTTTTTACTATACATATTGGTAAATATTTGCCATGTTCAGCCTGATACTAGATTCTGAGAACAGCGTGTGAATTTCAGAGCCAATATATAAGAACTTCCAAGAAGAGAGATGTTAAGAAAAAGATACTTCCTCAGATGGTCTAGTGGAGTTTCTTTTGCTGTTGCTTGGTTTTAAATTAATTCTGCCTTTGGTAATAATATGATATTGCCAAAGTATGCAAACATGAATTTCTGGGGCAAAAACTTAAGTTTTGTTACTAATTTTTTTTTTTTTTTTTTTTAAGGATAAGAATCTTGTGGTGTTTTCTATAACAGAAAGCAAATCTTTTAGATATGGTTTTCATTTTGTTTCAATTTTATTTTGATGGTGTTCTCTTACTTGAAACAACCTTCAAATTATTTTAGCCTAGAAAATTAGTTCTTTAAAGTCTCTGCTACTGTAGTGAACTCTTGGTTTAAGTGGATATTTGGGAATTACCGTTGTTTCACATCTTGCATTGAAAAAGAGAAATAGTGAGTTGCTGGTTTTGGTGGTTTTTTTTTGTTTCGTAACATGATATTTCTGTAACTATTTGGTGAATAGTCCTGAGTGAGACAAATTATGGAAGTATTTGAAATTCTATAGTAATAGGAAATTTCTTCTTCAGACATATTAAAATTGTGTGTGGTTACTATACATTTGTGACTACATAAAATATCTAAAAAGTAAGAACCTGTTAATTACAATCAAGTCTGTTCTCCATGATGTGTGTTGAAATCCTTTATCAGTTTACTTCTTTCTGTGCAGAAAATCAATGTCATCTATTGCAAATCATTGTAAGAGGCAGGCTTTGGAACCTCACAAGCTGGGATTTTAACAAGATCTAAAAGTGCTGGTGACTTTAACTAAATACACATGGCATCCACACACTTATATACTCAGATCGTATTTGTGTAGTCTTGATGTTTTTAGAATGGTAAAAAAAAAAAGTTGAGCAGACTTTTACACTCAATTAGGAGAAATATGAAGATGGTGCATCAGTACAAGAATAATGCAATAGATGAATGTATTGACTTTGTGAATGTTATTGACTTCTTTTGCCATAAACTGTTTTTTCTTGTATTTACAGCCTAAACTTAGCATGGCCAAATGCAGGAGAAATGTGGAAAACTTTCTGGATGCATGTAGAAAACTGGGGATACCAGAGGTAATTTAATTAAGCCTGTCACTTATAGATGATCAAAAATGCAAAACACGAATTACTTCGAAGCTGAAGGATAACTTTATGAACTACAGTTTTTCAGCAATAAAGACACATAATTTATAAAAATGATCTAAATAATGTGATTTAATACTACTTTAGTCCGTTTAAGTGACTCATGTCATAGCACTTCAGAATTGCAACTTTGTCTTAAATTAGTAATTCAGTATTATTCCTGATACCTCCTTATCTTTGTCACGGAAAATAAATAAGGAACATGGTAATTAGGTAATATGTAATTAGGCAAAAGTTTGCTAATCTGTGTTGTTATATGATTTTAGAATATAGACTTCATTCTTATTAATTATTGATTTTCCTTTCTTTACAATATTAAATGCTGTATAGCATGCATTGTAAAAGTGACTAATAACACACTCGTCTCTTGTACTGATACACTTCTGCAGTGATGTGAAGAAAAGCATTGTCTGTGTTAAGTATGGAAAGTACATATGATTAAGGTTCTATAATGTAGATGCAAGTGGTTTAGAAGTTTGAAATAGGAAAATTGCAGTGCTTCATGTTTTCTGCTTTTCATTTAAGAATGGCAGCATTCATCAGGTAATTTATTCTCATATTAATAAGGAAAAATATCTTTATAACTAATGTAATGAATTCTGGAGTTACATTGGGAATATTTTAAAGACTCCCTTATGGTCTAGAAGTACCTATTAAGAAAAAGTTAATTTCAAATACATGACCCTCAAAAGAAGTTAAAAGTGTTATCCAAGGTTTTTTTAATCTGAAAACATTAAAATTACATGATATATTTTCACTGTTGCCTACATATGACAGTATAATTAAGACAGAGTTCTTTTCAGTGTGTTTCAAGAATGCTGAAACAAAAGGGTATTTTGTGTTTTTCTCCCCCACCACCCCCTCAGGGAGCAGATGGTAATGCAGAGAATTCACATTCGGAAAGAGTTCTAGTTTGAATTACTTACATTTTATATCTATTTAGCACTTGATTTGGAGGGACAGCATAAGTAGCATAAGTAACAGATCATTTTTGCTATTTGTAGGAATTTTGAGGGGAAGACTTTATCTTACAGCTCCAGTGAATGGTACATCATAAACTTAATTTGTGAATTCAGTGTAATGGGTAGCTGGGTCTCTTAAGTTGTAATGGTTGATTTAGTTCTTGTATTTGTGTAATTTATTGTGTTAGAATGATTTCATATGAAAGGTAAAATTTCAAAGATGATCAAAATCTCAGTCCTGTGGACTTGTAGACATGGAGTGCTTGTTAAACTGCCCCAAAATTCATTGTCTTCTGATACGTCATAAATTATTTAGTCAATTAGAATACAAGTTAGGTTTTTCTGGATATAGCCTGTTGGGAAAGAAAAGGCCAAGAGCTGTTTTCACTGTTGTCAAGAGATCTGTCAAAACCAAAACAGAAATATTTACAACGATCCTTGCAGTGCTGTATTACAGGTGGGTAAACCAAGCCTTTACTCTGAGGTTGGGGTGGTTTTTTTTTATTTCTATAAGTAAGCTTTCTGGAAAAATACCTTTTTGTTTTCTGTGAATAGATATTTTTATATATTTATTACTGCTCCTCATTAATGCTTCCATTGAAATTAGTGTAGAATTTTTTAGGATTTTTTCATTTTAATTAAAGGGTATTTGTTGCAGAGTTGCATAGAGCCTTAAGCACAAGGCCAGATCTTACCAATCTGGTTTGTAAACTAACCATCCTTATGAATCTAAATAAGTGTTAACTTCTCTTGAGGGGAAAATCTCATTTACTTCAACATTAACTGAACGACTTGCAATTGTAAATTTATGATAGTTTTAAGTACTCAGAGGGATATTTTTTTGATGAGCTGTTGGTAATTTGCAAATGCATATGTTTGCTATATATTGTGAAAATCCATCGTATTGCAGAACTAGCTGGTAGATGATAAACTTTGCATGTTGGAGGGACGTGTTAGAAGGACCGAGTTGTGTGATAGCAAGTGTGACAGTCAACTGTTGAAGTTTTGAAAGAACTACAGACGATGTGTTCAACGCGGCTTTGGGTTGATGAGTTGTACGTTGCCTAGCTATCTCTAGACAAACCAGTGAAAGGAATACAGTGAATTATTTGTGTTTTTTTAAAAGAAGCATCTTGTAGGAAAGTGATCAGTTCAACTTGTGGATCCTGATACTCATAGATATTAGGCTTTTCTATGATACTTACGTCCATGTTTAGTTCCTGAGAATTAACTTGAAATTCTGCTGCATGGACTTTTTTAAGGTTTTAAAATTGTCATAGTTCCTGTTGATTTGTTTTCAGTTATGTGTGGCATGGAATAGAGTACATGCTATTTCCTGAACTCCACAGGTTTCCAATAATATCCTTTCAAATTATGTAAAATGAAAACAAGAAAATAGCTAAGTAATTACGATGTTGTGCTGATGCACAGTCTCTTACTTCTGTGGCTTTCAGCATTCAATTCTTGGGTCAAAATTGCTTTCCCCAGAATGATCCTGGGAAACTTCATCCAAGTGTAGAAAAGTGCAATTGGCATCCATGTCCAAATGTGTCATAATAAGTATCAGGAATTGGTGTCTTGACCAAAGAATCACGAATACAAAATTCAGGGACATGAGCGTCTCTTTATAACATCCTGGTATGTAGATGATTCTGAAAGCCACTACCTGCCAGATGGGAATTCCAGTACAATGGGTGACATGTTCAAATCACTCTGTTAATGGCCATATGATGCCTTTGATCGTATGCAGAAAGAATGTGCTGGGTCATATACAAAAGGGATATTTTAAGCATATGGTTCTGACCCTTTAATAAGAACTTAAATAGCAAGGCTCTTACCATACCGGTAGGCTATCAAAAGTGTGAGAATTGTAGGACAATCAACTTGTGTCCAGTTCTGTCACTAACTTTTCCTGTAGAGCCTTATCAGAGATCTTTGTAAATGATCGTTTTTTGAGAAAAAACAAAATTTTTGTTTGATGTGAGAAAGGGATGGTGGCAGAGGTAAGCACCTGAAAGCCTGAGGATTCAGAAAATGTCTGCTGGACCCCTCAGGAGATATGTGACAGAAAAGGTACAATCTTTGTCACTTAGAAAAGTACAAAAGAAGACTTTATTATACACAGTTAACTAGAAACTGTCAAATTGCCTAATCTTGTCTGTATCAGCTGTAAAATGACAAACACTCCTAATTTTTGGCTGATACAGACTGAATAAGCAAGTGGCAGTAGATGTGTGATAAATAGGGATGCCTTTCCTATTGCATTTTCCAGAGTGACATCCGAGTACTTGGATGGTGCTGTTCACTGGAGTAGGTTGTTAATGTTATATGAACCCACTACTGACACCACCTATAATGCTTACCCAGTCCACCTATACCATCTATATTGCACCACCCTCTCACACTTTCTGGGTTTAAAAAATAAAGCTACTTTTTTGGTTTAGTTCTCTTTGTGTGTGAATGTGACCTCTAAAGTGTCAAATGTTCCAGTTCTAATGCGGTTTTACTCTTCTTAGTGTCATCTCATCCCTGGGGTATTAAAAATGATCAGGAGAGTCTGAATTATTATCACATGAGTATCTATGTAAAGTTGTGGAAGTATTTTGGTTTCAACTACTCTTTCATAAAGCCAGTAACTATCTGTGAATACAGACAAAAATATTCATATACATTTCTCCAGTTTGTCAATTGCCTCATTAGAATCAGTATTCATACTAATAGCAAAGTAGACTTTCCAATTTTAACCTGCAAATCAATAACTTAATTAAGCTTTAGCTTTCATTCTTGGTAATTCATATTACAGAGTATTTTTTCTTATGCACTTTCAGTAATGTTAACAAATATTCCTCTCAAAAGGATAAAGTAACTGATTTGTGGTGGGCTGAACGATACTTTGAGAAGTGAGATTTAGACCAAAATAAAGCTGTAAATGCAATATGTTATTTGAAAGGCAAAAGTTTCAAGTTTTGGTCTGCATTTCTTCTAGTTCTCAATTCTGAACAAATACAACATATCAGCAGTAGGACCTTCTAAGCATTTTGTCAGAAAAGAAATTGAATGAAGTATTTACCATGTTTGTGACCCAAAATGCAGAAGTTATCTTTTTAAAAAGACACAAATTAATTTTTATGATCTGCAAGTTATACTATCTCTTAACAGTTTAGACACTTGAGCATCTTTTGATCCTTTATGAGGCCTCTTCAGGTCAGAGAAATTAGGTAGAGTTACTTCTGGAAAAATAAAGACAGGCTTTCCCCACATACACGGACATACTTTGTCAATCTTCATATAGCTTGAAAGATAGACTTAAGCTTTCATCATTAATTCTAGATTGGTAATTTCTGGTGATAAAAGGTAGTGATAAAATGAAATCTTTCACAGCCAGTTGTTACTGCAGGTTTATCGAGCTTCTGTGTTCCAGCATGTCAGTAAGTGCACGATTTATTGGGACAAGTTATTTCTTGGGTGGGAATGAGAGACTTCTGTCATGTCTCTCAAATTTTCAGTCAGCTATTTGGTGTACACGTACTGAACAGAAAAGCGTGATGGTAAGAAGTGGCTTTTTTGATCTCAAGTCATCATATGAAGATTCAGATTACAAAAGGTTTAGCTGTGACCCTTCCTGTGACTTTCGAGTCCTGCAAACAGGACCTCCTTCTCTGAAAATTAATTCCACAATGTTGCAACATAAACCAGAACTATTCTAAACATCAGTATGATTTATGCTAGTGTAGGAATTGCTAATTAAGTAAAACAAACAAAAAAACAGGAGGCTTTCATGTGCTAAAGCTGGCAGAACAAAGTAAAAGAAGCAACCAAGCAGAGAGTGTCAAGTGCCTTATCTTCTATCCACCTGTTAGTTGTTCAACTGGTAATCATGTTTCTCAGTTTAATGCAAGGTATATTTTCATTGCCACTTACACTTGTTTTCTGATGAATTCACATAATCAGTTACTTCTCCATAGTTTCATCATGAGACATCCATGAAGTTGGAGTAAGTTTTATCAGGTATGACTTCTTTGCCCTTTTGTTCTGTGTTCGGTAATGTATAGACCTACAGTATGGGGTTCAGTGGTTTGGTGGTAAGCTGTCAGTTAGAGGACTGAAAGCATATTTCTGAGGTTCCTTTGACTTTTTTTTGAACGTAGTGCATATGTACTACAGACTTCATTCTTCAATGAACTTCTGTGAACTTACTCTTGACTTCTTTACCAGAGTTAAAATTTGAGGAGATTGGTTTTGAAATGCTCTCTGTTTTCACTGTCACTGCAGGAGCATGCAGAATGAGTGGTTTGTGCACACAAACAGCTGGTTATGCTTTTGTCATTCAACTTCTGCCTTACTGTGTTTATGTGTGCATGATTTTGGCAGCTGTGTGATTTAGTCATGTAGCTTCATAGACGTAACAAGACAGTCCATAAATTTAATGATTAAGTATATATATATATTTCTAGTTCTCACTAGTAATAATTTTGGTCTCCTAAATGAGAAAGGGCAGTGCTCGTGATGGATGGGTGGGTGGGTGGTTGTCTTTGAGACTTTGAGTGGAGGTCATGTACTTTTTCACTATTTCATGATGTCATGCTTTAGTTTGATATTTTCATTTCACAGCTTCTGTAAAATTCTGGTAACTTAAGTGGAAAATATGTTCACCATTAGTGAAAAGCTATATTTTTTTTTTTAATCTAGAAGTTATAAATTATTATAGAAGTTTATAGAACTTCTATATTAGTTTAGTGAAGTTTATAGAACTTCAACATTATAGAAGTTTAAAATACATTCACACCTTAAGTAAAATGTTTGTATTGAACGTAACACCAAATTATCCATTGTGACAGAACACCCAAAAATAAGCAAAAATTATCAGGTATTTCTCAGACTTCCCCAGGTTTCACTGAATTTCAATAAAGCACAGCGTAGCAGTTCCTGTAGGAAGTTTATTCTGCATGCGTTGGCTGTTTTTGTACAGTTTGGCTTCTCCTGTATACTGCTTAGTATGTTAATCTCTGGTTAGCAAGTTCTTCAGTCTCTGTAAAAATGCAGCCTCTTACCAGCTCTCATTCTCTGGCTCTGAAATTGCTTCCTTCTCCATTTAACTGCAGTAGGGACTGGGTGGGGGGTTGGGGGGCACAGTTGGACAAAAGTTTAAAAAAAGTCCTTGTTTTAAAGTTCTATCAGATTTTTAATATAAATTTAAGTTCAATGTATCTTAGATACTTATTTTTGGGATATAGTTGCAACAAGTAGGAATTGAGTCTTGTATGCTATTTTAAAATTAATCCAGCATTTGTGGGGTTTGGTAAAAGGGCAATATATTACATAGTTGATAGTTGTGAGTGAGTAGGTTTTTTGCCCTGAAATTAATTTCTCTGGTAAGCAGCTTGTGAATGTAGATGTTCTTGAATGCACTACTCATCCTATCCCATTTTTAAACAAGATCAGCATGTTTTCTTCTGTCTGTGAGTTTTCATCCTTTAGAAAATGCCAAATACAATTGCATTGAAGTTTATTATTGCACTAGAATTTTGAATTGAAAAACTTCTGAAAAATTACTGTAAAAAGTCAGTGTTGTTGCTAGGCAGGGTGTTTTTTCCCCTCTGTGTATCTGCTGGTCTTAAGTGACAAAATTAAAGTGTTGAAGCTTTTAACTCCTGTTAAAGCTGGAACCAGGCATGGGAAGCGAAAAAGAAAAAAAAAGGTCGCTTCTTTCTTTATATATGAATGACAGTTCTGACTTCTAGTTTCACTAGTCACTTTTCAGGATAGATGAGCCTTTTAAATGTTTTAAAGTTTAATTTATTGCCAACTAGACTTTGAAACTTTTCACTGACAGAAAACAGACATCTGAACTTCCATGTCTTCATTTATTGGATGCACTGTCAGGTCATTATGCAAGTGAAACTGAAAAGCTGCTGAAGAAACACAGTGTTCCTCTGGAGCAGAGGATCTCCTTCCTACTTTGTATAATTTCATTCTGTAAATGTTTACCATTTTTGTTGATAGTAAGGTCTCACTTGCAATGTAAAATGGTATATCTTAGTTTGCATTTTGAAAGTATTAGTTGTTGCTTGGTTTGCTTTTAGTATTAAATATTGTGAATACATATTGATATTATTATTACCTATTACGCTTCATTTTGTATAGCTAGTCTAGAGTAAATTGCTACATGAAGTCACTGATACTTTCCAAAAAAAGTATGAGAATCTAACCTGCTAATAACTTCTAAAATGCCACCTAAGGAATTTAGTGTCAAATTCTTCAGTTTAGAAACTTTAATAAAATTAAATATAGTTAGTGCTATGTTGACTTTTTCAGTTTCAGTCCCACGGTGTCATTTAAGATTATATTTTAATACCACAATTATTTATTATGTTAGACAGTTTTGCATACTTATGACAATTTCTTTAAGTACTTTTTATTGAGTCTTCATATTGCTGCTGCTTGTGCTTTTAACAGCTTTCTAACCCACTGTTTGCTATTGTATAAGTTAGATTTTACTGGTTCCATTTAAGCATTTGGATAAGGCCCAGATGGATAAAGGTGTGCAGATCTCATTGGAACAAGTGGATCAGATGCACCTTCTCTCCCTTGTGAATCTGGACATAATTTTGGAAGGGTGTGAAGGCCTGAGCTCTTGTCTTAATATTCTCACATTATATGATAGCTTCAGCATTTAGAGGAAATAAAAGAAAGCTGGGGTGTCTGGTGCCTAAGGCAATACTAGGAAGGAATTATTCCTACATGTTTATGCTAGAATATTGTGATAATTTATCAATATCTTTCCATTTTTTGTATTTTTAATTTTATGCACTGTTTTTTTCTGTTCTAATGGCTGCCCTTCGGGATAGGCTGACCTCTGCTCTCCGTATGACATCCTGCAGTCGGATATTCGTCACATTCGAAAGACTGTTGACACTCTGCTCGCCCTCGGGGAGAAAACCCCACAATCAACTTCTACCTTTCGCTCCTGGGATCTAATAGGCTTTTGTCTTTTCCACATACTTTTTATAGTCTTGATGTATATAACTTATCACTGGAATGTGCTAACAGCATAACCTGTTCGCATGTGCACACAAACTTTCTGCTTTGTCTCTGACAAATTACAGGTACTTAATTTCCTTCCTTTTGTCTTACAAACTTCTCCCTTTCCCTTGCTTCCCTTCCTTGTAATATCTCTATTAATCTCTTGAAATAGGGGAGAGAGGGAGTAGCATCTTGAAGTCAAGTCCCATCTCTTCTCTTCCCTCTCCAGCTCTAGTTTAAGAACTTATGTGCCTCTTTATTTATAGTTTGTTTTCTTTTATGTTGCCTAGACTACACACTGAATGAATTAAAGCAGTGAAGCCACTCTTATCCCACTTTCGGGTGTAGGCTAGATGTATATCACAAGCTAAACAGAACTGAGCCTCTTAATTTTTGTGAAAATCCGAGAACGCTGCAGATATCAAAGCAACTGAGGTGACACTTCATCAGATGATATTATTTTCTGAGTTGGTGCCAATTATCTCAATATATATTGTGTTAAGAGCACTTAGAGAACTATCTTTCAAATTACTGTTATTTTTTAATCCTTTAGATTAACGAGAGTACTGTAACTTTAAAAATTGTTTGTCATCTCTACTGTTCCGATTAAATTCCGTACTGGAGTAGTTATGTTTTCCTACTTATATTTTGTTTTCCTCCAGATTCCATAGAATAATCTTTCTATTCTGTTGCACAAAGCAGCATTGAACTGCTTTTAAACACTTGCTATGTTACACCCTACAGATGACTGTAAATTAGTGGTGGGCATGAGCAACCCATAATATGCTGAGGGCTTTAGAATGTTTCAGGATGAAGACTGGAGCACAGTGTGATGCAGTAAGATAGTCTGAGATTAAGCTGTTAGATTCCTGTATCTGCCTTTCTGATGTGTGGCATCAAGCAAATCATATCACTATCTTGTCTCTGTTTCCTCACCTGTGAAAATACAGGTAATGTTTGTTTGGTTGTTTTTTTTGTGTAACACTGTAACAAAGACACTGTAGCTAGGAAAACAGATTTTCTAGCAAGACTCTAGATTTTCCATCCTATGAAGTTTTACAGAATGTAATGTTCAGGCAAACATTAGCCAGGAGGTGTTTTGGTATCTTTGAACTCTGCCTGTGGTTAGAGTGCTGAATTGATGACCTCCATTTCCCTTGCAGTTCTGTATTCTGTTAATCTACTGTAAAACTTGAATAAGACGTTTTCTTTTTTTTACTCCTTATCAACATGAAATATATAAATGAAAATTGATAGAGAAATATAAAACCTTGATTATAAACCTATATTGACATTGCAATATTGGCCTGGATGCTGTTGACTAAATTTGTAATTCAGTCTTAGGCTAGCTAACCAAAGGACCTCAGTTTCGTGGCTGTGAAATAAATACATTCATTTCTCACTGCCTTGTATATAAAAAAATTACCTATAGACTTTTAAAAGAGGATAACTAGCATAAGCACTTGTATGTTACTGATTATTCTGGCCATATGGTTATGAGTTAGTGATATACTATAAATATCCCTGTTCTATAGATACTTGTAAGATTTTATTTAAAAGCTTCTAAATGCAGTCCTATTCCTGGTTTCCATGTCTTAAATATGCACATATACATATATAAAAAGGATGAAGTATATAATTAGATAGGTATTTTAATATGGAAAAATTCATTTCAAATGATGGATAAGTCCAATTTTTTGAAAGGGTTTAGTGTCTAGCGATTACCAATGCATATATATACAACAACTCTGTTGTAAAGAGTGTCTTCTGTGACCAGCAGGAGTTTGGAGAGTGCTTCTAGGTTCTTTATACTTGAAGAAAAGGTACTAGTTATTTGGAGCTGTAGCTATAGACTTGAGCCCTTATCCTGCACAGGCCTGTCTCTTAACTGTGTGCTTAGTTTCAGTGACGGTGGACACTTGCTTACTCAGAGTCAGAGCTGGACCTTTAAGCTTCCACTTTCAGCAGATCTTTGTCTTGATTTTGGTTGTCTTGTTTTAACAATGTTGCTTTCCTGATGAAACTGAGAAAGTGCCGTAAAGCTTGAATGAGTTCAGAATCTGTTAAATCCAGCATTGGGATTTGAGACAGAAGTGATGTCTTCACTAGGGCTGGGATTTTACTCCTGCTCCCATAAGGGGTAAACAGGTCTCCTGTCAATGCTTTGTGTTGTGCACTCCTTATATAGTACTGATCTATGTGTATGAATATATTTTAACATGTTTTGAAATTAGAAAATCAAATGGTGAGGGTTGTTGCTACCATGCTATAGTATGCATGTCTCATTGTCTAATATTGTGTTTGTTTATCCACTGTATCCCGTAGCTTTGGGAGGGAGATAACAGAAGTAGTAGATCAGTGTGTTTTGCATTTACAGTGTGCAGAAATGGAAGTTTATGTCCTCAGTGGTTTTGAGTGTTTTGTCAGACTAGACACTGGGTTAGAAACTGAACTATTGTTGTGCCAGTGCAGACCAACTAAAACATATCCCAGTCAAAATGACACATAACGCTCAAACTTGTCCAAAGTTTTAACTTAACATGTACTTACCATGTAAACAGAGCTGTCTTTTAGTCACTTAAGAGTACATTTTCTCACTATTCTCGACTATGACAATATGCAGTAATTAAAGTGGAACATTACAAGCACTTTCTTGTAGTTATGGAGTTGAAGCCATCTTGGACCAGACTGTGAAAGACAAACATACTACTTGCTTCATGACAAGCACAGCCTTACTACCATGCATGAAACTTATCTGGTTTTGTATTTTTTAGGGTTGTTATTGATAACACTTCCAAATGTACATAAATCTTACAGCGAAAGGAGTAGTAAAATACACTTTTACATTTCTCTAAGTGTGAATATAGTAATGTTTCTCCAAATGTATTTCAAACATAATGCAAATGTGGAAAATACCTGGTCTGCCCATCCCCGAAGCAAATAATTCTCCCACTAGATGAGGAGGTGGAAACTAAAACGTGTAGCTCATTAATCTATTCTAATGAGCTCTGTGCTAAATTCAGAATCCTGGTTTTTGTGCTGCTGTTCCTGCGGCTTTAGTACTTGGGAAACCCAACAGTTCGACTGACTGGTGGTTCTTCCCCTCTGCAGAAGTCGCAGTGTTGAGACATTCGGTTGTACACGGTTGGTACTTAACTGCTCACAGCCAGTCACGTGATTACGTTGATGACCTTGGGTTTAAAACAACGTACGCTGCAGTTCACCCACATATTCATTGATAACATGAATTATATTTGTTTCCCCATTCAGTTTCTTCCACTGCAGTGGTCATCAGAGATTTTCAAACTGTGATTTCTTCATAAACTGGTCTATTCTAATCTGTACTGTGGACGTCCTGTCATCCCTACTGCGCTAAAGTAATAAATACAAATTGTAATTAACTCATTTAATATGCATGCAGGTAAAGTGTGTTTGCAGAGGATTACAAGGGGCATTTTGATATAAGGATTTGGCTTTCTTTTTCCTTGAGCCAGAAAACAGATAAATATTTTCAAGTGCAGAGTGATTGCAGTGTAGTAGTCTTTCAAGTGCCTCTTTCTTCAAATGTATATTAACAAGCTTTTACGATTGAAAGCTGTATATGGATCCCATTCTGTTTGTAGTAAGTTTTCTGAAAGGCCACATTTATTGTGAAAGGGGATTGCGTTAGACCTGAGTGAATATTCAGTCCCCTTTTCTACTCCGTAGACATTAATAAGTTTCCAAATTATTGCCACATAATTGTTTTTCACAAAAAGAAGTATTCTTGGTGTTTTACTTCTGTTAGGAAAAAAATGAAAACAGTCATATATGCAGGTTTTGAAAAAATGGTAGAGCTGGTTTTGTGGACCATTGCCATTTCCTTTATTTCTAGCACATAAGCTGCGTTATGCAGAAAGAGCAGTATGAAAATACTTGAAGGTAATGACTCATTCTCCTTTGATACGAAACACTCTTATTCCTTCACTTTATCTCTCAGAATTTAATGTATAAGGTTATGTTACAATTGATATTTCGAGTGTAAGTATACATTTTCTCTTACTGTTCAATGTGTGTCTGTCTTCATTCAATTGTCTGTTTCCTTCAGTTTCAGGTCACTGTCTTCTATAGCACTTTAGAATGGAACTGTGAGGTTTTGGCAAAATATGTGATCTGCTTTTAAAATTTTATGGCCTAAGGCCAAGATCTGTAAAGGGGTCCAAAGCCCACCATCTGCAAATACAGTTTTGTAAATATTTGCAATTTATTACATATTCAGAAGATGCACATATTTAGATATCTAACTGGCTATAACTCCAACAAATCTGGAATTGCAGCTGCAGTATTGAAGTACTGTTGTGTTTTTTTGCTTCACAAAACATACTAATCTTTCCTTTGTAAATTAAAAGAAAAAAACCAGATGAAATATACCTATAACTTGAATTACTGTGCTTTTTGATCTTCTGCTCTTTTCTTTTGTACTTCAAATGGTGACTTCAGGGCATTTTGGCACATACAGACATGATCAGTAATAGTGAATAAGGAAAATATATGTAAAAAGCCATAATTTCAAACTTCCTTACATATATGAAAAAGTAAACGTTTGCTATGTTTTTTTCAGCTCTTTAGAAAGAAAACTTGGCCCTGACCTAACAAAATGTGAAGGTTTTATATATTTGACATAAGTTTGCCTAAACGTAAGACCCTGATGTTTTAGCAAATTTCCATTTCAGAGTGGTTGGCTCCAAAAATTAAATGACAGGCATTACATAGACTTATTTTTTTACTTTATATTTGGAGAAACTACACATTGCAGTATTTCATTGCTTTCTGAATATTTTTTCCCCCCCTGTAGATCTGAAATGTCATATTCTACAAATACAAGGATGAAAGAGAGGCGCTTCTGCCAAATTGTAGCATTCTATTTCTCTGTATTTTTGCTAACAAATGTAATTGGCCCCTGATGTTGTCATGATGTGGTCATTTCACTGCTTGCCCATATGAGATAATGGCAACAATTCCTTTTTGATAATGAATTACTACATCTGAATTG